CCATGTGGAGGTCACACACGACCGTTCGGGCCTGGCACGTGGCTACTTGCTAGGGAGCGCTTACTCAGGAGGATGAAGAATGTCGCTCGGGAGTCAGGAGGAGATTACAGTTGTCTTTTCCCTGGGTATTTTTCTTGTTTTCTTGTGTATAGGTTGCACCGGGAGTATGGGTTGTACTGTGCGTGGAGTACAAGTTGCACATTCAAAGCCCCACATGTTGTATTGTCATGCGAAGTACAATTTGTGTTGGAAGTACAGAGATTGCACCCTGCAAGAGTACATGTTAAGTAAAAGTTGTACTGTGCGGGGAGTATCAGTTGCACTATGCGGGGATATGTTGTGCATGGGGAGTACACATATGTTATCTACGGGAGTACATGTATGGTTCAGGAGCACAAGGTTGTAATGACTGGGAGCATAAGTTGCGTCCATAAAAAAATCCGTCGAAGCTTATCAACATACGATCTAGTTTTGTAGATATCAAAGATATTTCCAACCCTTATAAAAACAATAAAAGGACAACACGCAAACAAAAAGAGGAGCACACCTTAGCATAGACCACACAGTCGTCAGAAAGGGAAGGACATATATAATCCATTCAGTCATGTTTGCTGAAGATTAGAGGCCTAGTCATTCATTCATCATTCTCATTGTCGTAGCCATGTGATTTCCATTTTACCGGATGCGAGGACCATTGAACTGAACCACATTTACACTTCCATCCTTTTATTAAAATATAGTAGTATACAACGACCATCTAATTGGATGTGAATTCGTAATATTTCATTGTACTAAAAGTATGGTCAAGATTTGTGCCTTGTAAGTATTTAATGCACACTCACCATACGAACCTCCAATCTTATTCTCTAAATATTAGGGATCCACACTTCCTTCAATATTAGCTCGATATATATCTATCAAGTTGTCATGGGTCTTCTTCCTATGGCCTCCGGCTTACATCATCTTTCAAATATCGAGACTTAGCAGGAAGAGGAAGCAATTACACTTTAACCTAGGAGTTAGACACACATAGCGTGTTTGGAATAGTACTATAGTAGGCATCTAAGAATATGTTCATTCACGTGTTCTTAAGGGTTGTGTAACCGACCTAATTACGATCATCATGGCAGGCACAGCACCTAGACAGAAGATATCTGCTACAAGAGGCATAGTTTACGAAGAGAAAATAGGGATGTACGTTGAGAAGACTAGAATCAGACGCGCTCCTTTCCACGTCGTTTTCTCTGGAGAATTTTTCATTTATTATTTTGGAGCTTCATACTCCTCTATTGTACATTTTTCTATCGGCTGTTGTTACCTGCATTTTTTACATCTTTTATTTTCTTTCAATCTTTGTAGGGCACGTCTTTTTGTTGAGCAAAACTGAACGACAAAGCCAAGTTGCCAACACAGAAAGAAAGAAAGAAAGCCCATGTATGTGAATTAAGCCGGCCAAAATAAAAATGGCACAAAAACAAAAAGTCTACCATTCATTAGATTAGAGCATAGTGTATCTAATTTGAAGGGCACGTCTGAAGTTCCCATTTCAAGAGGCAATTGACTTTACCAGTGAGAATAGTAACAGTCCAAATAAAATGGAAATCTTCTTAGTATCCAATTTAAAAAATGGCGTAAGGAAGATCCACACCCACTCTATTGCTCAACCAATAGATGATCTACCAATGCAAGAGGGCTAGGCCTGCATCACTGCACACATTGGTAGGACACAACAGTAACAGGCCACTCATAATACGAAATTCTAAAAAATAGAGCAGGCACCATACAATGTTCACAGGCACAAACAATCACTGCTATTACTAGTTTAAACCTGATCAACTCCTTGGGGCTTCTTAAGGGTCACTTGCAGCAGAGCTAAGTTTGGCACTGGCAAAATAAAATAGGGTAATCCACGAACAGAATTGTTGACTGGTGTCATACAAGAATACTTACTAGGTGTTTAACACTTCAGTATATTCCCCACTTGCTTACCAAAAGTCTCCTAATTCAGGTGGATCCAATCATCCAACAAGATGTCATATTGGAATAACTGAATTATGCAATTAAATAATAAGTCTTACAAGAGATGACATAAATCCAGTTCAAACTTCACAAAACTATACATCCTTAACAACATTATCTAATTCCAAAAGAAATACTTACGGATAGATTATTTCATTCTTGACTGGAGATTAACAAAAGCTCCCAGGCCATATTGTTAAAAATACCGGATTCAAACATTATTGGCATGACAAAGCAAGAGGTCCAAATGCAAGAGTTGCAACACATATAATATATTCTCCAAGAGAGAAATAAGCAGAGACCATAATTTAATGGTTCAACAATATCCATGATTAAAGTAACAGGGTATTAGTACAGATGATCGAGCATTAAAGCCAGCCCTTTCCAATAAAAAAGGCAGGTAAGCAACTCAGGGATTTACAATACAAGGTCAACATGTTTAGTAGGGACATATGAAAATTAATTTCCACTATTTATTATGAAAGTGCATAAATGTCATTTTAGTAGTTTCGGCTAGTCAAGGTGACTAACACATCGAACACAACAGAATAGACAAGTTATAATACGATTCTTGAAAAAAGTGGAGGTACGATACAAAGTTCACACACATAACTAAATAACTAGCTAAGAACACCACTGCTGCTGCTTGCTCAAACCTGAAGTGAATTATCTTCAAGTCCTTCAGGCTTAATTAGTGCCACTTACAGCAGACCTAAATTAGGCACAAATGACAGAATTGGCATACAATAATATTAGTTATTTAACACTTCAATATAGTCCCCACAAGTTCTACGTTTATGATAGCTATCTTTCAGCATTTTTAAAACTAACATACAGAGAAGGCAGTTACTACCAAAAGTCTTCTACTTCAGATGGATCCGATCATTCCCTATATATGTGAATATCTCATACTGAATTATGCAATTGAATAAAAAATCTTGCAAGAAATGACATAGACGAAATTCCAACTTCAGAAACTATATAACTCAACAACATTACCTAATTCCAAGAGAAATACTTTACACATTGATCATTTTTCACTATTGAATGGAGATAAAAAAACGCTTCCAGACCACATTGTAATTTGTAAAAACGATGGAATCCAAACATTCAGTAGCATGACAAAGGCAAGAGGAGATCCAAATGCAAAGGTTGCAACACATATAATTATTCTCAAAGAAAGAAATAAGCAAAGACCAGAATTTGGATATAGAAGACATTAATAATGGTTCAGCAGAATGATCATAACATCCATAATTAAAGTAGCGGGCTGCTAACTGCCATGAATATATAAAAGTACACAATCACAAGCTCAGTTACGCACTTAACTGCAATAGTCAGGACATGAGTGTGCTCAAGCACCAACAAAAACTATCAGAACTTCATAAACAGCTACCGAAACCACTGCTGCCCGAATTCAAGACCAAACTCCAATATCATTAGAAAGATGGAGAATTGTGAAGCTGCAGTACACAAGAAAGAGATTTAGTGTTCATCTGCCAATGACTCTGAGAACAAGGGGACATGTGGATAAAAAGGAGGAGCCTTTTTGCCGCATTCAGGCCACCATTGCCATTCAAGCTTACACTCAGAGCCAAGTTGACGTATAAAACACAGCTTTCTAGAATCCATGTCGTATGACATTAGTGTCTTCTCAACTCCACCGACTATAAAAACCAAACTGTGTTCCGGATGGATAGAAATAACCTCATAATTATTCACATACGATGAATACTTTGTTCTGAATAACTGCAAGTGGCTCACATTGTGCTTCAAAGTCCATTTTCCTGTAACGTAGTCCTCAAGAACCCAGATTGATAGTTTAGAACCATCAGAATCAGCAAAATACAACCGTCCCTGTGATGGAAATATGCCACCGATACAATCAGCATAGTAAGGTAGCTCAGGAACATCAATGAGCCACCAATTAGCTCCTTCCACATCAACAGCTACTATACATTCAAATAAGTTAGCCAAATGCAAGATCCCATTAAAAAATGTGCTTACTGAATTCTTGGGTATCGAAAAGCGACCATGCTCAACTGTTTGATATTTCCAAGCTCCAGCTTTGGATGAGTATATTGCTAGTGTTTCGATGCGTCCACAGCAATCGCCATCAAGCTCGTCCTCAGATATACCCCATGACTCCTCATCTATGAACTCGAATACATGGAAGTGGGAAGAAACGGCCGGGTCGAATCCCAGGCGAGCGACGCTCACCATGCTGGACCAGTCAGTGGCAGGCACGGCCACCCATTTCTGAGTAGTGGGATTGCACACCACATAATCCAATGTCTTGGGATCAGTCACCTTCCAGCAGCGGCAGAGGAGGAGGCCATTGCAGCTGTCCAAGATGTCAAGGCTCTCGCAATTGGGCAGGAAAGACAGCGAGGGGTCGACGAGAGGATAGCGTTGCCGTGACAGATTGGTAAAATAACGAGCCTTCTTGGGAGAGCGGAATTCGTTGTAACCTTCGTAGAAGAAGCCGACGATGGACTGCGGCATCTTGTTTCGGCACTGGTAGGAGATGAGGTCGCGCCAGCGCGTGGAGACGCATTTGCAGCAGCAGGTGGACTTGTACGGCACGCGCGAGATGATATCGGCGAGGATGTCGTCGGTGAGCTTGGACACCGGGCTCCCCTTCAGGCGCTTCTTCTTCTTCTTCTTGGAGTCCCTCGCCATGGCCGTCCGTGGAGATGAGGAGCTCATAGTCTGCGCAGATCGGGAGAAGGAGGGGAAAAGATTAGAGATCCATCCCGGGTGCGAGGGGGGAGCGTGAGGGATGAGAGGGTCTACCAGGTGGTTGCTGCGCGAGCGGCGAAGCGATGAGCGTCGAGAGCTTCAGCTGCGCCGGCGAGCGCGGCTGCGAGATGCGAGATGCGGCGGCGGAGCTGGGAAGTGAAGTGGAGACGACGAGGGAAGTGAAGTGCAGGGTTGGGCCGTGTGACCTTCTCTTTTACTTTTTGCTGGAGCGGGCCGCACGCAGTCCAACGGGCCTGTACATCCTCTAGAAAATAAATTTGAACATGAGAAAATTGCATCCTTACTCTCTCAAAAAAAAAGAAGAGAAAATTGCATCCTTTCGCTAAAAATAAAAATAAAAAGATACTTGAACATGGAACGAATGTGTTGCGTCTTAGCCACCGTCGACCACAACGTGAAATACAATTTTTGGCTTCTCCTCCTCTTCGAGATCTCTTTTCTACCATAAACTTTTTTGGCAGGTTTACACTTTGCATTTCCATGTGATGTTCGTGCTTGTAGCGGTCGGTGCTCCCGTCTCACTCAATCTCATGGACACCTCGCTCGTGCATGCTCACTCGTCGGCACCCCATACTGTTACTAACGCTATGAGAGTTGTGGAAGCATAGAAATGTAGTTGTGTTTGATGGTGCTTCGTCATCGACGGGTAGCCTCATGCAGAAATTGAAGCGGAAGGACGGATTTGGTCGATGTCCGGTCTCATGAAAGGAAACATGGATTTTGTGTTTGCGGGTTTAGCTAGGTGGATTAGTGGCGAGGAGTAGTTGGGTGGTACTAAGTGGTGTGGAGTTGTATATACGGTTGTGAGATATCACACCACTTGTAAATGACCGGTGGAGGCTTCTAGGCCTTTTCTTCTTTAATATATGATATGCACACTTGTGTATATTCGTGAAAAAAAAAACTTGTCGGCACCATCAAGTCGCCCAATAGGGGCCGTTCGGTTTGGATATGAAAAACCCACAGAAATGTAACTCGGTGAAGGAATAGCAGATGAATGAGATGTCAAAATGGAGGAATAAAAGCTTGAGGAAGATTTAGGATATGGACGTTCGGAGTGTTGGTATAGTAAACAAAGGAAATGGATAGATGTTTGTGATACAGTACGAAACTGGGACCCATGAGTGCAAATAAACTAGAGATTTTATCCCATGCATGTGACAGATGTGGGTCCGGAGATAAAGGCTACAGAGGCAAGATCATTGTCAGAGCTCACGTATCCTACATTTTGCCTCGGACTTCCGCCCAAAAAAAAGCTTGCCGTGGATGTTTTCTTTCCCGTGAAAGTAGAGGGTACAGAAACTTTCCCAACGGTGCTTCTGGTAAGCTTTCCTCTGTTTTCAGTTCATGTGAATTTCCTCCAAAAATCCTCCATACCGAACGTGCCCCTAGGGTTGCTCAAAAATCAAAATCCATGCATGAGACCACGTCCACACAGTGGCGGCGCCAGTCTCAAGAATCTAGGGGGGGTCAATGGATTTTTTTGATTTATTTTCTTCATGATGAACAGTAGCTCTAGGTTGTTTTTCAAAAAAGTTATGAGGTCGGCTGACCCCATTTACACATAGTTTATCGTCAGGGTTGGAGCGAAGTGTAATATTTGTTTCATTGCACAGATGGACTCATTTGTGTGTAGAAAGTGTGTGTACAAAAACCCAAATACCCTAGCATATTATATATTATTCACACTAAAAATACTAGAAAATCACATTTTTTTCCTAGAAAAGATCACATATGATCCTCGGGGCTTTCCGCCACCATTTGCGAGGCGAAGCACTTTACCTCTCTGGTGGAGCAATTTTGTTGGGAAAACTTCACTCCGGGAGTGGGAAATTAAAGCCTTCATCATCACCAACACTCCAATCATCATGGGGATCATCATCTTCATCAGAACCATCTCATCTCCAAACCCTAGTTCTTCCCTTGTGCTCAATCTTTGTATCAAACCTCAGATTGATAACTAGGAGTACTTATGTGTGTTGATTACACCTTGTAGTTGATGCATAGGATATTTATTGGTGAAAGTTTGTTGTGCTCAGGTTGTTCATCATATATTATAGCTAATGATCATGATCTATATGATGTGTTGTGAGTAGTTCCATTTGTCCTTGAGGACATGGGGGAAGTTTTGTTGCTAGTAATCATGTGAAGTTCATAATCTTTCAATGTTTTGATGATATGTTATGTTGTTCTTGCTGTAGTGGTGTTATGTGAACGTCAACTACACACTACTGCATGAATGCCTAGCAATGGTGGGCGCATAAAAGCCAGCGGTGGCGGACCAGGCTCCCAGGCCCGCCCGCCACCGACCTCCCGCCACTGCTAAATAGTCTGCAGTGGCGAGCGAAGAAACGTGTCCGCCAGTGCTTGACTTTGAAGTAGTGGCAGGCGTGTTTCAGCACCCGCCGCTAGTTCTCAGTCAAACAAATTAAAATTTCCATAGCGACGACAACATTTATGTTGCCATGGTAGCGTTTTCATACAACACATATCAGAATACATTGATAAGAATAAAAGTTGACAAAATGTCGCTGCATACATTAACCACTAGCTCTAATTGTTGTCAATCATAACTACAGATGGCCCAACTAAATATTCATAGCTAGGTAGAACACGACTATCGATACAAACATCCACCGGTTAATTAGTCCTGATAATGACAAAGGACTAGGACCTACTCCTCTTTTTTAGGATAAATTGAAAAAATAAGAACGCCCTATATCTTCATGGTAGATCACAGAGATCCAGTGATCTCCAATTTCTCGTATGCACTCATTATTCAATATTTGCCGCAACTCATCAATTTTGAGGCGTCCATCTCGTAGGTTTGCAGTAGAGTAGGTGCCTTTGAAATTCGTCTTCTGATGGAAAATAATTGTCATCGCACATGTCGCATCCATCGCTGCAGGCATAACGACTCTTAGGAGCTTCTATTGAAGAACAACATAGTAACATAGTAAGCATTGTGCTTTATTTAAGATGGACTATTGGCACAATAATAGTACAAAATCATACCATGCATTTTTTTATGAATGTTGGTATTGCTCAATTTGTGGACGAGTGGCACGTATGGTGTAGTATTTGGACCATCTTCGTAAGAGTGCCTTAAACGACTCAACATCGTTAACAAAGGAGACAAGATAATTCTCCTCCTCTCAAGTAAGCTCGGATCAAGCAGTGTAATAGGTCTCGTCTACTATATTCCGTATTTTTCTTTGAGATAGAAAATAAGCTATAGATTTTAATTAAAATGGTAAGTTACGAGTGAATAACAAATATTTTAAGATAGATTACTTAACAAATGTGTTCAAGAAACTCACACCGAGGGAAAATAGGAATCATGTCTCTTTCCACCCGAATGTCTTGATCAAAATAAGGAAAGGCGCCTTGAGGGATGCCAATATTAAAGGTTATAATCATACCCTCCTCAAATCCGTAAGCCTTGCATAATCTTTTTGTAAGTGCATCTAGTGCCACCCCTAGTTGGTTTTGGAGTATTGACGACAAACCTGGTTGAGGGACTAATGTGTTTGTGAGAATTGCAGGATAACACAGGTAGTAGTCCCTCATTGATTCGGTTTACCTATCGGAGACGACCCCTAAAAATGTGTGAAGACATTGTAGACAACGGTGGTCTGTGAAGGTATTCAAGTTGAAGACTATGACATGAGAAGACATCGCATGAAGACTGTGGAGCGCAAAGACTTAGTTGTTTTGTTGTTTCCTTTTCTTCTTTGTTGAGTCATAGGAACCGCCGCACTGTTAAGTGGGGTCCAAGTGAACAAAGTCAGAGTGACTGAAGTGATGCTCAACCAAATCCTATGTCTTCGAGTGAAGACAATGAGAGCAAATCTTATCCAGAGTCGGATGACTCAGCTTTACATGTAGCCCAAGTCAAGCTGCCGTGTGTGTTTGAAATCTGATCGTTGGGACACATGTCAGTTCCTTAGTGACCCAGGGTCATTTCGGACAAATCAGGTCGGGTTGCCCAGTGGCTATAAATAGCCCACCCCCTACACCATAAATTGGTGGCTGCTCAAAGTTAGTGCACGACTTTTGTCGTTTGAGAGCAACCCACCTCCGAAGCATTTGAGAGAGAATCCTTGCGAGGACAAAGCCCAAACCACCCAGAGCCCAAGAGTGTTTGGCATCACTGAAGTCTTTCTGTCCGCGTGATCTGAAGACTTGTTACACTTGAGGACTGTGAATCCTCCAGCCGGTTAGGCGTCGCGTTCTGAGCATCCAAGAGTCATTGTGGATTGCCGGTGAACGAAGTCTGTGAAGGTTTGGAAGTCTACCTCGAAGACTTACCAGAGTGATTGGGCGGGGACTAGGTGTCCTTAGCTCAAGCGGAATAATGTGAAGACGCAGTCTTCTAAGTTAAATCTCAGCCTCCCTAACCAGACGTACAATTGTCACAGCAACTGGAACTGGTCGAACAAATCTTTGTCCTCTCCAAGCTACTAGTTCTATCTCTCACTTCTCTTTACTTACAGTTTGTCTTCGTGAAGTCATTGCCTGCTTGCATTATCTGTTTGATTTCACTGTGCGACTACTTGGTCTGATTGGCTTCATACTATCTTCCATCCAGATCCTTACTACCTAGCTGCTGATAGTCTTCGTGCTTTCACTTCATTGAATACTTGACTATGGCTTGCCTAGTGTAGTCTACCTTCCGCTGCATACGAGTAGTGTCATTTCTATTGTTTGTCTTCAAAACTCCCATGTTTTGAAGACTTTCATAAAAATCGCCTATTCACCCCCCCTCTAGTCGATAACTAGCTCTTTCAATTGGTATCAGAGCAAGGTACTCCCTTGTTCTGTGTGATTCGGTTTAACCACCTGGAGTTTTAGCTATGTCGACTACAGTGATAATCAAAGTCTTTGCTGCGTGCCCCATCTTTGATGGCACTGAATACCCCTACTAGAAGAATAAGATGCGCATG